TGCTTCCTCCTCAGATCAAATGGATCAGAAAAGCATGGGCAAAAAAACCCCTCATAGTTTGATATGAAACTTTTAAGCAGTAGCCCTTGTTTATAATGACAATTACTCAATTGTAATGACAAATACTCAATTGTTTTGAAAGGAAGGCCTGATTAAGAGTAACCAAGGTGATTTTGCATCTTGTTGCGAAGAAGGAGAAATAATGTATGAAATGTTTCATTTTTCAGGACCTTAATAATCTTCCAGTATGGGAGAATCACTTAAAGATTATTCAAGGTAGACTACATAGACCTCCCAGAAACTCTGTACCCCAGGAGTTGACCTCTAAGGAACCATAGACATACAGAAGGCCCATAGATAAAACATGAATATTGTTATTGTTAGGCACCAGTGGATTGGCTCTCACAGTGACTTCATATTGTTGTTGTTATGTGCCGTTGAGTCACCTGTGATTCATAGTGACCCTAAGTACAACAGTCCTGATGCCTAAGCCAGTCTCACTAACTCTGACACACCTACCCCCCCTTGCCCAATTACTGTATCAATACATCTTACCTGGGTTCTTCCTCTCCTGCACTGTCCCTCCACCCTTCCAAGTATGATGTCCTTCTCCATGGACCAGTCCCTGCTGGCCATATCTCCAAAGTATATGCGATGGAGCCTCAAAATCCTAGCCTCCAAAAAGAAACTGTTTCACCCTATCCAATATAGACCTAATTCTTTTTTTTTTTGGCAGTCAATGGTATGTTAAAGACTCTTCTCCAGCATCACAATCCAAAGGCATTAATTATTTTTTCTGTCACCTTTAGTCATTGTCAAGCTCTCTGATGCATAGCAAGTAATTGTGAAGATCATGGCCTAAATTAAGCATGCCTTAGTCTTTAGACAGGCATCTTTGCTTCTCAGAACTCTGGAGAAGTCACTGACAGCAGATTTTCCTAGTGCAGTTAGTCTTTTGATTTTCTGACTGCTGGTGCCAAGGGTATTAATTGATTGCAGCTGAGTAAACTAATTGTGAACATCCCCAATCTCTTCTCCATCTATAATGGTTATGCCAATTGGCCCAGTGGAGAGAATCTTTGTCTTCTTGGTGTTGAGCTTCAATCCATATTAAAGACTACAGTCCTTGATTTTCTTCAACAGGTGCTTCAGATCCTTCTCAGTTTCAGCAAATTTGTGTCACCTGCATAACGTAGGTTGTTGATGAGTCTTCCTCCAGTCCTGATGCCACATTCCTCCTCATAAAGCCCTACCTCCCAGATGATCTGTTTTGCATAGAGATTGAAACGGTATGTATACAGGATGTATCCCTGATGCACTCCTTTCCTGATTTTGAACCATGCAGTTTTTCTTTGCTCTGTTCTTAGGACTTCATCCTGGTTCAAATATGGGTTTCGCATGAGCACAATCAAGTGTTCTGGGATTCACATTCTCCTCAAGTTTAACCACAATTTGTTCTGATCTACACAGTCAAATAAATGCCTTTTCATAGTCAATGAAACACAGGTATACATTCCTTTGGTACTCTTTGCTTTCTGCCAAGAGTCTCACATTGGTGATAATGTCTCTAGTGCCACAACCTCTTCTAAACCCAGTCTGGTAGTTCTGTTAATGTACTGTACCAGCTGTTTTTGATAATCTTCAGCAGGATTTTGCTTGCATGTTATATTAATAATGTAATATAATAATATTGTTAAATAATTTACACACCTTAAGTTTTGTGCTTTTAATGGGAATAGATATGGATCTTTTCTAGTCAGTTGGCCAGGTAGTTGTCTTCCAGATTTCTTGGCACAACCTGGTGAGCACAACCAGGGCAGCATCTATTTGTTGAAATATGTTCATTGTTGTCCCATCAATTTCTCGGGCTTTATATTTTTGCCAAGTCATTTAGAGCATCCTGAACTTCCTCCTTCAACACCATTGCCTCTTGATCATGTTATTTCTTGAAATTCTTCTGTATCAGCCAATTCTTTTTGGTACAGTGGCTCTGTATATTCCTTCCATCTTCTTTTAGTGCTTCCTCGATCATTCAATATTCTTGTCACAGCATCCTTAAGTATTGCAATTTGTGGTTTGAATTTGTTATTTTGTTCCTTCAGTTTGAGAAATGCCGAGTGAGTTCAGCCCTTTTTATTTTCTGACTCCAGCTCCTTGAACATTTCATGATAATGCTTTGATTTGTCTTCTCAAGCTGAACTTTCAAATCTTCTTTTCAACTCCTTAACTTCTTGATTTCTTCCCTTTGGCATCTCAGTACTCTAGTGCAATATTCAGTCTCGTCTGAAATCCATTTTGGTCTTTTCTTCTTCCTTCATCTTTGTAATGATCTTTTGCATTCTTCATGAATATTCTTTTTTTTAGTAATTTATGTTTTGTTTGAAAAATTAAGAACAAAAGCTCCAACCTGACCCTAAGCCAGACTGGCAGCTTCCCTGAGTGTGCCTGAGTCTCCGTGAAGCTCTGTGTCCTGGCTCTGTTCTGTGGAGTTGTCAGTGATCTCTCACTGCTTTCTGAAGTGAATGAAAAATGTACAGATTTCCTTCAGGAAAGTGGTGATGGTAGGGCTTTCTGGTGGCTTTGGCAGGGAGCTGACACCTTCCAGGGTACAGAGGTGTTTGTCCAGACCCACTGGAGCCACCTGCTTCCTGAGGATATGTCCTCCAGCCTCTACAACAAGACTGCATCTCTAGTCTGCTGTAGCTCCCACTGTGGCAATGGCTGTCCCACCCTATGGCCCTCCAGATGTGAACGAACACCCTCAGTGCCAGTCCCTGGCAGAAGCGGCTCTAGCCCTGCTTGGCCTTCTTTCCCATGATGTGGGGTTCGCCTTCAACATCTAAGAGCTTTCCAAGACCACCTGGTGAGGTTTACTCTTTACTTCACCAGGTACCTCACCACAAAGCTATGCCAAGAACCTCACTTTTGGAAAAGAAGTCTGTTCATCTACTGGCAAATCATACATCCATCTTCCCTATCCATCACCAATTCACCTACCCACCCGTCTACACAGCTGTCCATTCATTGTCTGACCACTCATCTATCCCCTATCCATCCATCCACCCACCCACTCACCAACTAATCCACTCATTCATCCATACGTCCACCCATTCTTCCATCCATTCACTCATCCAGCCATCCACTTTTCCGTCCACCTATCAAGGATGATATTCTTTATATCTTCCCATAGTCTTCCTTCATTAGTGTTCAAGACCTCAAACCCGTTCTTGGGTTGGTTTTCAAATTCAGGATGGATATATTCAAGATGAAATTTTGACTCCTGTAGATTTGATTTGACCTTCTTTTAGCTTTAATTTGAACTTGCATATGAGTAGTTGATGGTCTGTTCCATAGTCAACACTTCACCTAGTTTTTGATGCTGATATTGAATGTCTCCAACAATTCCTTCCACTCATATAATCAACCTGATTCCTGTGCATACCATCAGTTGAAATCTACGTGTATAGCCTGCAGTTATGTTTCTTATAAAAGGTATTTGCAATGAATAAATCATTGAATGTACAAATCCCAGCCTCAATTCTGTCACCAAGTCCGTGTTTTCCAACTACTGATCTTTTTCTCCCTGTTCCCTACTTTTGCATTCCAGTCACCCATTGTTATGAATACATCTTAGTTGCATGTTCGATCTATTTCTGACTGCAAAGGTTGGTAGAAATAATGTATTTCTTCCTCTTTGGCTCCGGTTGTTAGTGCATAAATTTGAATGATAGTGGTAGTAACAGATCTTGTATGTATATAGACATTATTTTGTCACTCACAACATTGTATTTTAAGATAGAAACTGGAAATGGCCTTTTTAACTATGAAAGCAACCCCATTTTTTCTCCTTTTATCTTTTGATCATATGATCATCTGATTCAAAACATCCCATGCCAATTCATCTCATTTTGCCAATACCTAATATGTCAATATTTATGTGTTCCATTTCTTTCTTAACGATATCTAGTTTTCTGACATTCAAATTTCTCACATTCCATGTTTCAATCATTGGTTTCTAGTTACAACTGTTCTTCCTCCTTTTTGATTCCAAACTTGGGGGCTCGGCCTCAGTTGCCATATCTGTCAGTTGACTCTAAGTGTACAAGAGAACAGACCTCTCTCTGGTGTGCTACTGTCCCCACAATTTCTGTTGTACCTGAAACCAAAGTTACAGTCACTGGGTCAATCCACCTCATTGAAGACCTTTTTTTCTCCTTCACTGACCCTCCACTTTTCCAAACATCTTGTTCCAAGGAGCAGCTCCTCCTGATTACAAGCCCAAAAGTATGTGAGATGAAAAACACAAATGAGGTGGGAAGGTCTGGCGTCTAAGCTAGAGACAAGACACTTGACATCACTACAGTCCCAAACCAGTCTTCCTCCCCACCAGCCTCCAAACACTTTCCCCCAGTCCAAGGCCTCACAGATACAACTATAGGAAGCCAATGGAATTAGGCAACAAGGGTGACTTAAGTCGCAGAACTATTTTTTATTTATTGTCAGTGAAAAAAAAAATAAAAACAGTACATTTTAGAGATCTTCAGCTAGAAAAGAGACTGGTTGGTTATATTTAAAAAACAGTACAAAAATGTTAACCTAATAAAATAAAAACAGTATAAAAAATATTAACCAAAATAAAAGAATATTTTAAAAGATTTTTCTGTTAAAGGCTGCAACTTTAGAAAATAAAATTTAAAAAAAAACACAGCTCCTTATTGCTAAGAAACTGGACTATGAAAGACGTGCCTAGAGTACTGGGGAGAGCACGGTGGAAAAGCATTCTCGTTGTTTCTCATGCAGCCTGGAGTAAAGTGTGATGGTTCTCTCCTCTGTCACCCAGGATACTGCTCAGGCAATGCTGGGATTGCAATTACTAGGTTTCTGGGACCCTGACTGGGCCCTCTGGTCCTCTGTCTGTGTGAGAATAATCTCTCTGCCTTCTTGGTTTCATTTTCCAAAAGTGTCTCTTCTCTTCTGAAAGCTGTCTCCCCAGCGCCTTGTGCTGCCTTGGTCAGCAGCCCTTTCACAGGTCGGTGGACATGAAGTCAGGTATCTGCTTCCCTTCTTCAGACGATTTGCTGGCCAGCTATGTGGGAGAGGAAGAGAAATATACCCTCAAATGGGATTCCCATGAGCACCAGCCCCAATCACAAGGTCTCCCAGGCTGATTGCTGCCCACAAACCATGAAGATGAGCTGGTATGACCTTGATGTTGGCCAGAAAGGTGTTCCTGGGTGGGGCTTAGAGTGTAGGTTTGGCTGCTTCCTGAACCCCCTCAGCAGCTGTGTGAACTCAGCAAATGGCCTGCCCTCCCTGAGCCTTAGACACTACCCCCAGTGACAGCGGGAGGTCCAACTGGACTATGTTTGGAAAGCACATAGCACGGTTCCTGACTCACTGTGTGCACAAAGTCAACTTGCAATTAATATAGTCACACTGGCCTGGTTTAATATTAACTTGAGGATCAGACATGGCAGGGGTCCCGTCTTTATTTTGACCAAAGACTAAAAAGTAACAATAGGAGACAGGACATGAAAGTCAGTGCTTGGAATAGTAACTTTTAATTAGGAAGATTTTGACATGTAAGAGGAATAGGAAAGTATTTCCCATAAAAAGGCATTTTCAGGGTCCACACAACAGTGCCAATTAGCTGTAGTGTTGGCGTGGACAGAAGTATCAAAGAGCAATTTAGACAAAGCCCAGCCACCCACCCTGAGGTATGAGGGGCCTTGTATGTCCTGCTGGGACTGCCCGTGTTTTAGCTGGGATCTGTGCTGGCCAGAGGAACGCATGGGGTCCAAAAGGGACACTGTAGTGTCCAGCTTGCAGTCCTAAGGACTTAGGAGCACCACCTAAGAGGGCCCACCTTTGTGACCACACTAACAGATGCAGACAGGCACACCTATGCAGGTGGACATGCACACACACACACACACCCCTGTGCATAAGCACAAATACACATGTACACGCACATACACCCTGCTGTGCATGCTTCAGTTTCTTCCCTTTCTGAACTATTTTCTCCCTCCCAACTCTTCTAGCCCTCAGCCCGTCAGTATCCTCACCATGGTCCTGAAGAATTGATTTACTTTCTTCCTTTTAAGTGTCTTCTTGTCTCCGTCTGAGAGGTTGAGGAAGGTCTGGCTGAGGCGGGGGGAAGTGTTGGCCTCGTCCAGCCCAGGCATGCCCGTCACTGAGACTGTGAGGGCTGAAAAGAGAGCAGAGGTGGGTGTGGAAGGGGGGTGAGCAGAGGCCGTTGTGCAGGGACATGGGTCTGCATAGGGGTGGTCATTGGGGAAGAACCTGGAGGATACGAGTCCCTGGAAGTGCTTGTCAACCCTGACACTGTGAAAACTGAGCAGGCGCTGGGGTGAGGAGAGGTGATGTTTAAGCTGTCCTCTTTAGGGATGCCTTGTCAAATCTCAAAAAGTGGTCCTGCCTCTTGGCCCTTGCTCAAAGCCTTGTTCAAGGGCTTCTAGGCCGGAATTCAGGAGCTTGGGGTGGAGGAGAGTTAAGTGGGTAAGGATCCATGCAATACCTATTACGATTTCCTTAGGAATACAAGGCCTTTTGTTCCAAGATGGGATACCATCTGATTGTCCTCTTCCTTTGCCTCCCAATGCCAAACCCATGGATTTCTCATGGTGAATATGGCTGGTGTTTACCACCTTGAAGCCAAACGGAACTAAAGAATCAGCTAGCTCTCTGACCCCGGTTTTTTACATTGGTCAAAAGGAGGTGACAGCACAAATGTTCAGAGATGATGGGATGGAAGCTTCAGACTCCTCAAAGCAGCCTTGCATATAAGGGGTTCACCTTGCAGGCTTCGGCCAGCATTTGTTAGGAGGATGGCTCCCAGGAAGAGTTTCTGGTCCTGAACTAAGTCATTGCCACTTACTGGCTAGAAACAGGCATGCTCAGTGCCTGTCTCCCGCATGAAATAGGGCTAATAACTCCCTTAACTTAGCAAGTCTGTGTTGAGGTATAAATGAAAGAATGACTGAGAGGCGTCAGTACAGGGCCTGGCCTAATCCTCAGAAACCGCAGGTCTCTCCACTGAGACTCGCCTGCTGAGCCCAAGAGGCTGGCACTAGCTCTCTTCGCTCTACTGGGCGCCAGCCCTGGGCACAGAGCCTGACTCAGAGTAGCAGACACTGATGACTGCTTGCCATTCAGAGTGCTCTGGGGTGTGAGATGGTGCCTTGAGAGCCGCGGGCTCCCCATCTGTGACACAGAAATAGCAAGCTGTGTCTGGGTTGTCCCTTCTTGGCATAATGAGTACAGGATTGCATCAAGCACTCTATGAATGCAAGATGTGATGACAATTTTAAAGTCCCAGAAAGAAATTTTCCAGGTCCCAAAAGGCTTAAGGACACGCCAGGGGCAGGCTTTTGGGACCAGGAAGGCCTGACTGTTTGAGAATACAGTGCCATCTGCTATATAAATGGATTCCCAATAAATCCCAAAGCCACAGGAAGTTTCTCAGGAAGTTTTCAGATGAGGGGCTGGATGTGCAGGGTGCAGAGAGTACAAGGGTGTTTGAGCAGACCCTCCCCACGCAGCATTCCTGATCCACATCCCGGCCATCCTGTACCCCCTAGGTTGACGGCCTGCATACTCTCAAGTCCCTGGTGGGTCCCTGGTACCTACCTGGAATGGTGGGCATGGACTGGCTGGCAAAGCTCATCTGAGAGATGGACGCCCTGGGGGGAATGGTCATATGCTCCGAGAGGTTGGTGTCACTCATGAACTCGTGCTTCCTGGAAAGCTGGAGGAATAGACAATAGGAGCAAATGTGTGTGTGTGTGTGTGTGTGTGTGTGTGTGTGTGTGTGTGTGTGCGCGTACACACACAAAGACAGACTGGCAGAAACGCAGGATGAGGAGGCAGCCCAAGCCCTGCAGGGTCAGGCCTGAGGGTTTGGCATGGAGCCTATGAATCTGGCTTCAAGCTCATTTATTTCAGTTTGTAACCTCTCCTTGCCAGACCTCTATGCATAGTTGCTCAGGTTTCACACAGACAATAGGTGAATAACACCCCATAGAACCATAAAAAACACAATATTTATTGCCATTAATTAAGAATTTCCAAGGCAATCTCCCTACAGAACCAAAGGCTTTCAAAGTAAAAAATGAATCCAAACCTGTTGCCCTTGAGTGGACCCCTGCATGTGGTTGACCCCATTGTGTGTCGGAGCAGAACTGTGCCCCACAGGGATCTCAACACCTAGTGTTTTTGAAAGCAGAATATGCTTATGGGTGGACTCAATCTCTACTCATTCAGTTAGCATCTGAGTATGCTGCCTGCACTCTCCAGTAACTCCTTTTGAAGTCAGGTCTGTGTGATTTAGTCACCTCTGCACCCCTAGCAGGGCTCCTGGACCCAGGAGTTCAGAGTGGAGTTTGAAGAGATGCTAAGTAGTTTGTGGCCTGAAGGCTGATGAAGTCCGAGAGACTCCCAGGTGGACTCCTTACCCATTTATTAGTAGGGCTTTTCCCCAGATTCCCAACGTCATATGTGATCGGCCAAAAGCTACACGCAGGCTGTGGAATCTATTGTTGCTGCTGTTGTTGTTAGGTGCCATGGAGTTGAGTATGACTCATAGCGACCCTATGAGCAACAGACCTGAACCCTGTCCTGTCCTGTGCCTTCCTCACAATCTCTGATATATGTGAGCCCATTGCTGCAGTCACTGTGTCTATCCACCTGGTTGAGGGTCTTCCTCTCTTTCACTTTCCCTCCACCTTTCCAAGCATGATGTTTCTGTACAAGAAACAGCCTCTCCTAGGTAAGAAGTTGAACACCAATCCCAAAGGCAACCCAGTTCAAATCCACCAGCTGCTCCATGGGAGGATGGCCAGTCTCCTCTGTGTTATTTACTGCCTCTGAAAACATGCTGGATGATCAGTGACAGGGTTACTTCTGACCTGACAGCACACAACAACAACAACATGCACAAAGCATGTGAGATGCAGCTTCATCATTCTTGCCTCCAAGAAGAACTCTATCTGTACCTTCTCCAAGATGTATCAGTTTGCTCTTTGGTACTCTAGTAGCAAGACACTGTGCTGTAATCTCAAAGGTATGTGGTTCAAATCCACCAGCTGTTGTGCAGGAGAAAGAGGGGCAATCTCTTCCTAGGAGATTTACTGTCTATTCTCAATGGTGCACAACAACCATTAGGTGCTGTGAAGTCAATTTTCTACTCATAGAGACCCTTGTGACAGAGTTGAACTGTCCCATAGGAGGTTTTCAGGGTATATTTTTTTTTCAGGGTATATTTTTATGGAAGCAGATTACCAGGTCTTTCTGTCGTGGAGCCACTCTATAGATTTAAACCACTAACCTTTAGGTTGATTAAGCTAAGTATTTAATCATTGCACCAGCAGGACGCCTTCAAGTCCAATTGCCTGAGATGTCAGCTCTGACACAGTTAGGTTGTATGGGCATCATTGAATCAGCCACTTGACCTCCCCTTTGCTAAGCTATTTGCTCTTCAATAGTCTCTTCTTGGGGAAATTGAGGCTAAGGGAGCTTTGGTCTGTCCCTGGCATATGTACTGTGCTTGGCATACATAGAGATTTGGAGTAATGTAAGGTGGGGTCACCTGCCTCGACCACTTACCCGCTTCATGTCCAAGTCGGCCGCTGCCTTCTCATCCGCAAACACCACGCTGCTCCTCTTATTTCTCTTCTTGGACCTCCGCAGCTTGACCTCAGCCAGTGTGGTTCCTGGTGGGATGGGCTCGTCCTGCTCTGCTTTTGGGGTCTTGGGTGGCCCCAGTTCCAGGTTGAAGCTACAGGGCAAGAGGAAGAGAAGCAGATACTGCAGTTAGAGTTGAAGTGGAACTGCCTCAGAGGGGCCAAAATGCGACCTTCAGAATGCCTGAGTGGTCACTCAAGGTCAGGGGTAGATTAGCTCACCTGACAGAATTTGGGAGTCTAAGAGGGTCACATACACATATATTTATCACATAGCCATTTCCCTAGATATTGTGGTAAATATATTTGTGTTGTTGTTGTTGTTGTTGTTATGTGCCGTCAAGTCGCCTGCGACTTATAGCGACCCTATGTACAACAGCCCTAAACCCTGCTCTATCCTGTGCCAATCGCATTGCCTCTGACAAACCCATCCCGAGTACCCCAGTCACTGAATCAATCAACCTCGTAGAGGGTCTTCCCCTCCTGCGCTGTCCCTCCACTCTACCCAGCATGATGTCCCTCTCCAAAGGCCTGTCTCTCCTTACAACATGTCCAAAGTATGTCAGACGAAGTCCCAGAATCCTTGCCTCCAAGGAGTATATTTGTGTACATAAATTTTATTTACTACAATTCATATGGAATACTTAAAACAATAATAAAGTAGTCTAAAAATGTTGTTGCTAAAAAAAATCTTTATGACAGTAGTAAATATGACTTTAGATAAAATGAAATGGGTCATCTCCACCAAACGAAACCAAATAGCAAAACATGAGAGGAAAAGACAATGGAAGTGAAGGTGGTCAAGGTATAAAAGAAGGTGTCGGTTCAAAGTACAGATCTGGAGTCAAATCCAGACAGTGCTACTTCTTAGCTGAATGGCTTTGGGAAAATTAGTCAGCTTTTTTGAGCCATCACTTTTTTTCCCAGTAAAAGGAGGTGTCAACAGCACCCTTGTAGAGTGATAATGAGGTGCAATCTGAGGAGACCTTAGCCCATTTTCAGACATGAAAATTTATGTCTTAATTTATGTATCCAATATTATTATTTTATTATTAATGTTATTAATTTTATTCTTAATAATATTATTATTCTTAATTCACATACCTAATGTGAATATTCTAATTTATGTATCTGTTGTTATTATTAGTGTTCTAATTTAACCACCAGGCTCTGTGGGTAAGCAGTTAGACAGCCAATCTCCAAAGCAGGCAGAATAAGCCCACCAACAGATCCACAAGACAAAGATCTCCTTTCATGTGTTTTCCAGCTTTTGAAAAGCCAGTTCTGAATCAGGGTTGACTCAGTAGTTAATACAATGAGCTGTATTGTATTAAAATAAGGTTATTGCAGTGTTGCAAGTGGCTTGCAATTGGCTGCTAACCTGAAGGCTGGTCATTTGAACCCACTCTGTGGTGCAGCAGAAGAAAGACCTGGCAAGCTCCTCACACAAAAATTGCTGTTCCTGTTGTTGGTTGCTGTCTAATCAAGTCCGTCTCATTGAAAGTCAAGAAAGCCTATGGAGCACAGCTCTGCTCTGACATGTGGGGTGACGATGAGTTGAAATGGACTCATGGCAGCAGGATTGCTTTGGTGTGACTGAGGGAGTTGAGAAGGGTAGGGCAGAGCCTCAGGCCTCCAGCAAGGGAAGTCATAAGAAGGTTTTCTAGGGGCTGGAGACCGAGGACCTGGGACAGGGATGTGAGTATAGGAGGAGGAGTTCTGTGACAGAAGAGCTGGCCTGATTGAGAAGAGGCATCCTCGGAGGACATGAGATCCCTGGCAGAGGGGAGAAGATTCTAGACTGAAGCAGCTTGCAGAGCAGCTCCAATGGTTGACAGAAATCACTGAACTCTGATGAGTCTGGGGGCTTCAGGTGAGTCCCTGCTGGGTCCACTTGCCAGAGAGTCAGATGCCTCCTTCGAAAATGGAACTAGCCAGCAGGGCCTCATAGGGTAGTTGCATGGGCTGTAATGAGGCATCGATGGAGGGAGAAAAAGACTTTTCAACAAGAAGGGCCAAAGAGGAGGCAGACAAGGGGCTGTTGGGTCATAAAGAGAAGAGGGCTGGGTGGAGAAGACAGAGGTACACGTTCTGCTTGGGGGCAGGAACAGACCTCTCCGAGGTGGTCTTGCTGGGAGTGCTGCAGTCAGAGTTCATGGAAGCCAGAGAGATGATGGACATCTGCCGGTAGGAGCGCAGCATTGACCTGGGGCGGCCCATTCTCCTATCCTCAAAATCAGGCTGCGGGTGGAGAGAACAGGGAGGGGGATTAGCAGTCAGACGTATGTTTCAACTGAAGCCTGGCCTAATGTGACCTTAGCCTTCTGTGCCTTCTTCCTCCACCTGGACAGCGCCAAGGTGTGGAGGTAGAACAGGGACAGAAACCTCCTGTTGGCTGAGGGTGGCACGTGGTGGATACAGGGACAGACAACCTATTTTATAGAAAATCCCTGAACCAACAGAAGACATGAGCTCTCCTCTGGGATCTTCTAGTAACTCATTACCCCTCTGTGGGATCTGGTTTCCCTGTTTCTAAAACAGGGTTGGCCCACATGGCAGCTTTGCAATTTTTTATTCTACTTTAAGTGGCAACAAGATAAAGTTGGTGCATCTCTGAAGAACAGTCTCTTCAGGTCACGGGGCTTAGTGACTACTAGAAATAGAGAGCCAGGTGCAAATTCTAGCTTGCACTCACTTGCTGCAAACTCTTTGGCAGGTTACTTAATATGTCTAGGTTATAGAAGAGACACAAGGTGTTAAGAAAATATCAGTCCTTCTTCCCACACTTGCTGTGAAGATTATATGACTTAACACTTAACTGCTTAAGTCAGCCTGGCACAGAGTAGGTGCTTTGTCAATGCCCCTCTCCTTATGTGCGCAGTCCTTTGGATGCTGAAGGTATGATATGTTACAGCTGCTTCCTTAGCGATGATTTTAGAAGGGGCCAAGTACACAGGAAAGCTTCCCTGAGCAGCACAGGCAATATTGGCCTAAGCCCTTATCTTTGAAGCAGGCTGCTTTACGAGGCCACCTCCAGCTCTGCTCCCCACTTTCCCCGCTGCTCTACCAGTCACTGACAGGGTCCTCCATACCATCTCTCGGACACCACTCCCCACCTTCCCCGCTGCTCTACCAGTCACTGACAAGGTTCTCCATACCATCTCTCTGACACCGTATTCCTTTTCCACTTTCACTTTCAGGTTCTTGAAACATTCCTCCATGCGGTCGTGGAAGGGTCGCAGGTTTTCCGACACCCTTTTCTCGTGGATCTTGATGCCAGCTCCCAGGAAGGGGATCTGCAGAAGAAATGGATCAAGATGAGTGTCCTTGGCCCGTGACCTGCCTCAGCTTGGGACTTAGCCATGAAAGCCGCTGGATTGAAGTAGGCCTCCTTGAAGTTTGACAAGAGCCCAAGGTCTTCAGGGAGGTTTTCACAGATTCCCAAGGGAAGTGGGGAATCTGTAACTTTGGGGTTTGCTCTGGAAAGAAGAGGAAATCCTCCATCAACCTTCACGCCACAGGAGCAATGGGTTCAGCCTTACCATGAAACGTGGAGATCAATTTAACTAATTGACAGTGTTGAAGAAAGCTATATATAAAAACTGAATTTGGTCCCCTAAAAATAGCTCTGTAAATCCTAACTGCCACATCTAAGGATTCAGTTTGAGAATAGGGCTTTTTAATGTTAATGAGAACATAAAGTATAGAGTGCACCTTAAGCCAATCACATTGGAGATATATAGCAGACCAGGCACAAAAGAAAGCAAATGGATGCAGAGGGAAGGTGGGTGCCATGTGGAGATCTCTACGGAATGCCAAGAGGAGAATCGATGAAGCTGATACAAGGATTTCCTCCTAGAGTAGGGGCGAGAATTTGGACTTCTAGGTGGCTTAGTGGTAAAGAATCCCACTCCCAAGCCAAAGTACGCAGTTCAAATCTACTAGCTCCTTTGCAAAGGGAAGATGGCCAATCTCCACTAATGTGATTTACTGCCTCTGAAAACCTGCTGGAGGGTCAGATATGGGTCAGTTCTGACTTAATGGTACATAATAAAAACAACAAAAACAATAGCCTCCTGAACTATGAAAAAATAGCCTTCGGTTCATTAATTATACCTACTTAATATAGTTCTGTTATAGTATCACCAAGAAACCAAGAGAGATATGAAAGGTAATCAACAAATAGGCACTTCTTCAAAAGTGACATAGATATATTATAAAGAAGAAAGGAGGAAGTGAGTGATATAAAAGAGTTAAACTCTTATCAACTAAGGAGATGAGACATGAGGAAACAGCAGCCTCTGGGCACATAGACCACGGAAGAAATAGCCGAGAAACAGCAGAACCGATTCTGCTCGGAAAAGACACGGATTTTCTTTTTCAAAAGGAATGATAAAGGCAATACTCCATACAGAAACTAGTGAGACACAGTCCAAGTTACACCTGAGGCAAATTATAAAGTTTAGTCTTAAATACTAGAAAAGATAATCAATCAGATAAGCATTTTCTGCTCCAAAAGGACAGAAAATCAAACCCGAAGTATATAGAAAAATTAAATCATTAACAAACACAGAAATAAATGAAAGAAAACAAAAATAACACAGAAGGCATCACCGAAGACAAAGGTTGATTTTCCAAAAATACTTATCATTGATAATCCCCTAAAGAGACTAATTAAGATAAGCAGAGGGTGGTAATAACTTACAACAGGAATTAAATGAGAATGTCACCACAGGCAGTTCAAACAGTTAAAATCCCCAGATGATGATATTATTTAAAATTTCATTATAATAAAATTATCATTTGGTTAAAATGTAAACATTTCTAGAAAAATGCAATTTATCAAAATAATCTAAAGAAAATAGGAAATATGAACATCATTATATAAATTGAATGCAGGCTTTAAAACAGATCTGTATAGGAAACTCTTATCTATGCGACTTCAATGGCAAATTCTACAAAGTATTTGCTGATTAATAAATACCCACTTTATTTGAGTTAGTATAAAAAATGAAAAATGGTAAGTAATCTTGAATTCACTTTATGAGGCCAAGATAACTTTGTTATAAAAACTTCACAAGGACATTACTAGAAAGGAAGATTATAAGCTAATATTCCCCATGATTGTACATGAAAAAAAAATCCTGATCAACAAAACTAGAATTCAGCCATATGTCAAATAATATACTATAGCCAAGTAAGATTTATAGGCAAGATTGGTTTAACATTATAACGAAATAATCTAATTTCTTTCATGAACAACATAAAGGGGAAAAAACCCAACATGAGTATTCCAACACAGAAAATGCATGTGACAGGATACTCACACACCCAGAAGTGAGTCCTGGGGACACAGCACTTAAGCACTTGGCTGCGAAGTGAAGTGGAAGGTCAGCAGTTTGGACCCTCCAGCCACTCCACCAGAGAAAAAGATGGCAGACTAAAGATTGCAGCCTAGGAAACAATTTAGGGCAACTCTTTTCCACCTGAAAAGGCCACAGGGCATCAGAAATTACTCCATAGCAACAAGGTTTGGTTTCCTATTCAACCACCACTCTATGTACAATGTTGTTCTTCTCCTGATGGTGATGACTGAGATGCACACTCTTTTCTCCTCTCTTCATTGTGCATTAAGACAAGAAAATAACTAAAAGGCAGGAAATGTGAAAAAGAAGAAGTAAAATATTCTGCGTAATCAGGTGATATTACCTGTACACAAAGAAAATTCAAAGACTCTAGAAATAATTTTACTTAATAAATAAACTTAAGTAAATTCACTTTAAAGTACATTTTCTGGCTATAAGGTCAACATAGGAAAAAAGGATTATCAACAATTAAAACAGAAAATATTCAGGTATAAATTTAAAAACACAGATGGATATCTTCATAATCATAGGTAAGGAAAAGTTTTCTCCAAGTAAATATGAAAGCACAAATCAAAATAAATTGGATGAGCTTGACTTCATAAAAATTTTTTTAAAAATCTGTTCATTGAAGTACATCATTAAGAAAGTGAACAGACATGTCACATAGATTGAGAGGAATTATTTATTATAAACATATTTAACAAATGACTTGTATATAGAACATTTGCTAGATATTCTAGGAGCTCTGGTGCCCTAGTGGGTAAATTGTTGCACTGTCAAACTAAAGGAAAGCAGTTCAAATCACCAGCTGCTCTAGAGAAGAAAGATGGGCAATCTCCTCCCATGAAATTTATCTCTAAAAATCCATTCTGAAGGTTAACTGACTTGGTTTTACTCTCTCTCTCTCTCTTTCTCTCTCTCTCTCTCTCTCTCTCTC